AGCAAAAAAAAATCCGCGATCGCGATCAGCGGTGGCAATTGGGGAAAAAAAAAAAAGCCACGATCGGCAGTGGCAGTTCAACGGCATGTCCTTCGCTCCTAGAGGGAGTGAGGTACCTGCCGCCCCCGAATTGCCACAGGTGCCGCCCCTCTCCCTTGGCCGCCCCAAGCACCTGCTTGTTAAGCTGGTGCCTGGAGCCGGCCCTGGCTCTCCCCAAGGCTCGGGCTGCCGTCTCCCTGGCTGACAGGGGAGGGGCTCAGGCTGCCTGCTCAAACTGCCCGCTCTCCCCAAGGCTCGGGCTGTCGGCTCCCTGGCTGACAGGGGAGGGCTCGGGCTGCCTGCTCAAACTGCCCGCTCTCCCTGGGGCTCGAGCTGTCTGCCCTGCAACTGGGTCCCAGCAGAGTCCTCTGGCCGCCATTAATGAAATTTTTCTTGAGAACTCCCTGAAACATTCTGCGAACCCCCAGGGGTTCGCGAACCCCACTTTGGGAACCACTGCCTTAGATGATTCCTAGTGGGCCAGTATCCAAATCACAAAAACTACCATCACAATTGGCACCTTTGTTTATATTCTCAGCAGAGGCCAAGAATGGATTGGGCCTGTTGCATGAGCTACAGTTCAGCCCTGATGTCTTCTAAGGGTGAAAGAACATTAGCAGGTAGTATGAGGAAACTTACACTGGCACTGCTGTTGTACCTATTCTGTGAATAAACTGAGTACTTCAGTCTCCAGGGCCATCACTTGACCACCTTTGATTTTCCTGGCACTAAATTCTCTTTGCCAAAAAAAGACACTGTCTTCTTATCTCAAAACTTAATCAAAATCCCCAAATCAAAATTTCTACCCAAATGAAAAAGGTATTAGTAAAATGGTGTTTCTAATGGAAATGTGAATGAGAGGCAGAAGGACATCGAGAGTGGATGCTGCTGAATTATGTTTGTCATAGTTGTGACAAAAAGTGGCCACATTTTGGGGTCCTTTGCACAGCTGTTCTTTAATGCAAGAGACTTAATGTGCCCACTGTTTTTGTCCCTTTCACAGTATGCTACACTGTTAGCTATCACTGTTTTTAAAAAAAGCAAATTTCCTTTCCTGCTCTTAACTTTTATAAATGAAAGGATTTAAAATAATTTACGTTTTACTTCTTATGCTATGGGTTTTTTCATTTTTCTCAAGATTGGCAAATGAAAATACAGTCACTTTCACTTTTGTTCATAGTTAATTTCTAGTCAATTTCGTTTTAAGATTATTTTTATGCAACAGAAAATATTTTTTAAAAATATCTTCATTGTGAACTGACAATTTGAGGAACAATTATTTGGTTGCCCCCAAAACTGCACATTAAGTCACATCTGCTTTGCATTTATTCACCTAATTATTTGTTTTGAGAGTATAGTTGCAGGTTTTGTAGAACAGTTTTGAGGCCATGGGAAATGTGACACGCATTTAACACATTGCACAGCAGTAGGTATAATGTCAGTGAAATGAATTAAAAATAGTGTATCTGCCAAATTAATTCTTAATTTATCATAATCTTTAGCATATATATAATCAGCTCTGCTTATTATCCTTTTGCACAATGCAAATAGTTAATCTGGGTGCCAACTTTATATTCTTCTCGCACAGCCACTTAGGTGCTTTTTTTCATGCTGCTCCCCATGCGTTCGTTCCTCTCAAGTCCATCTCAGAACAAAGTTCTTCAAGCTCTTTTATATTCAGGCTGCCCCAAAATCCAGAAAGGGGCTGTCCCACGGGTTCCATGAAGGGAATCAAATTTGATATTCTGGAGACAGCGTCAAGGAATGTACTCCTTACGTGTTACTATATATACACCCAGACAAGCCACAGTCCCTGTCCTTTCCAAAAGTGATAATGTAAAGAGCAGAAATATTCTTCACAAGCTGCACAGTTAACTCTACTTTTGATGGAAAACCAAAGAATGCCAGAAGTTTTCCATTCAATAGATGCTTTTTAAATTTGCCCTGACACATTTATTAAATATCAGAATAAAAATTGTGTGCTGACAAGTCTTGTGCATGAAAGTCCTATAATAGAAATCTGAAACTTGCCTACCAAAAGAGAGGAATAAGGCTATTAATAATAGGAGGATTCATGCTGTCTGTAACATTTCCACAAAATCCTAAAAAACAGAGGAGGTCAGATGGCCCTCCTGCAGCCAGGAGAGTCCACCACTTTGAGACTAGATTAAATTATGGACTGGTTAAAACAAATCTCAAGAGAATGGACATTTTGAGAAAAATATCACAAGACATAACTGAGAACAAACCTATTACTAGTACACATCAAGCTAATTTGCAAAGCTTGGAATCAAGACTACGGGGAAGCTGAGAATAGACTCTCCTTGCTAAAAGACACAGTGAGTACCATGAATATAATCTCAAAGCAACAGGAAATGGCTATTAAAGCACTGTAGGAAAAGGTTAATGATCTCAAAGGAAGATCAAGGAGAAACAATCTGAGAATTGGTGGGTCTTCCAGAGGAGATGGAAAAAGGGAGGCCTCTGGAATTTTTATCCACTATGCTGCTAGAGCTTTTGTGTCTTCGCCCTGATCAGAATGTAGATGTTGAGAGAGCCCACACCTCTCTTGCACCAAAACCCCTCCAAATGCAAAGCCCCAGGCCTTAACTGTAAGATGTTTAAAATAATATATTAAGAAACTCATTCTTTAAAAAGCCCTAACATGAAAAGGAAAAGCTGATGATTTTTCCATATTACACCAAAGATGTG